TGATGGGACACAATAACTAACTACATTGTATATTGACAAAATAAAAATAATTAAAAAAAATTAGGAAAAAAAAAAAAAAAGAAAGAGGTAAATAAGTGATGGTATTTTCATACAATGTAATAGCTTGCAGCCACTGGGAAACATAGCCTAGGTTTTTGGGAAGTGGAGAATGGAAAGAGAAACCAAAGTGTAACATTTGGATACAATGCTGTTAAATTATAAATAATTTCTCTCTATTAAAAACACAATTCATGGGCCTGCCCTGGCTCACTTGGGAGACTTTGGTGCTCACAACACCAATTCAAGGGTTAAGATCCCCTTACCAGTCATCTTTTAAAAACAAAACAAACAAACAAACAAACAAAACCCCCACAATTCATAATGGCTGCATAAAAATCCCTTTTGTAATTGAACCATGCATTGTTTATTCATTCCCCACTATTCTTGAAGTATGCTGGTTCAGATTTTTCTGTATTATAAGTGGTTCTCTAATGAACATCTTTACATGGAAATCCTTAAGGCACATCTCTCAGAATCTCCCAGAATACACTAGAAATACTAGAGATAACCAGAACAGATTTTAAGGATCCCTTGCTCCTTTCTGACCACAATATGTTCTTAAGAAAATGGGGTTGGAAAGTTTCTTCGTTCAGGTCGTCCCCCTTCCACCAAATCCCAACCTCTGCAGGTCCTTACCCTTTGCCTCCCCACCCCCCACCCCAAGCCCCTCAGCCTCTCTCTGTGCCAGCCCCTCCCTGCAGGCCCCTCTCAGCTCTCAGCACGTCCCTTCCCAGGCCCTGCTGCCCTGGCTCTAATCGGTCTCCCCCACTCACCCCCTGGTAGTCCGTCTGAAAATCACAGCCCACCGAAGAAGGGTAATCAGTACTTACCAGTCCTCTCTGTTACACTGAGTCTCTCATGTGGAAGAAACAAAAACGAAAGAAACCAGAGTTTATCTGCTCACGGTGAGAAACAGTAAGTGCTGCTCTTTGGAATCAGTTCTGTGATTGGCTTGGAGGAGGTGCTTCCTCAGTTGCTGGGCAGAAACCACTGCGGAAGGTCATAATAAAAACAAACTGCATGGAATTGTACACATTGAGGAAAATTCCAGCCCTGCCTCCCTTAGTGTTCGCGTTTCTCTGGGTTTGCCTGGTTGAGTCCTTCTTGTGTGATATGCGTATGAGGGTCCTTCACAGAGTTTATGGAAAGCCTCGTGTTATCTTTCAATTCTGTTTTTCTGCAAGCTTTTTGAAGTACCATCGTATAATAAGTATTTTTTAATATTCCCCTTTTATAATGTCTTTTTTATATATTAGAAATATCAGAAGAACTGAGTGGAAAAATAAAAAGACTTTGATGTGTAAAGAGGGGAAGATGTGGATTAATGAAAACGCTACTGTGGCAGTCAGCTAACATCTGCTTGCATGTGGATG